CAGATTAGAAACATTTTCATTGTTGTTTTTTAAATTTCCTTTGTACTGAAGTGCTATGGAGTTAAAACACCAAGCACAAAAGCGCACAGCCAACCATGACTAACTGCATAAAGCAAATAACAAGCCGTATGATCAAAAATGAAAGCCAGTGCCATTCATGTGGAATAATAGAAATCATACCACCAAAACACTTCATACACGTCTCATCTACCGACGTACACACTTGCTCAGCTCATATCATGCCTCAGGAATGCGGTTACAAACAGAAAGGGACCTGCACGGGAGGTAAATACCCAGAGGGGAGGCCACCTTTCCCTGTGCCTCATCCTGATGGTACCCTTACTCCTTCAGCTTGAGGTTCATCAGCGGTGGGGAGGGAAAGGCAGAGCAAGCTGTTACTCAGGGCATGCTTCTCTCCTTCCAGCTCTTCTGGGGATGTCCTCAGGGAGCCACACCAAATATACATGCCGAACACTATTGCTTAGTGCAGATAACTTGCCACATTTGAGCTGGAAGGCTGGTGAAGGACAAGTCAGTTCCCACTGGTCCAGAACGATGTCCCTCCAAAGCTCACAAAATAATGGTGCAATGTTGTATTCAGGGCTCTGACACAGTCCCTGTCTTCACTATCATTAAAAATAACCTTCCACCCTCTGCTGATTTTCTCAGGGGTTGCAAAGGCCATTCTTATTTGAGCAAAGAAAATCTTACCTGCTTATGGGGTGCAGCTGAGAGTGGGGAATGTTGGATGTTTCTGGGAGAGGATTAAGATACACCCAGCATATATTTTTTTTAAGTAGTGTTTTGAAACAAACAAACAAAAAACCAACCCTCTTCCTATTAACTGGAAAACAAATCCAGCTTAAAATTTTTGCTCAACTCTCGCTGCGGGAAGTGGGACACTTTCTGCTGTTCTGTGGGGAATTGCAGCAGGCCATGGAGACGAGAACAAGAAACAGCAGCGACCCACCAATAAAATGCACGTAGTAAAGTACTTTCAGAGGGATCAAGGGCTTTGCATACATTTTAGGAAGGATTTGATTTCATTGTCACTTCAGGCCAGGGAAGTGGAGATTCCATATTCCTGCAGTCATTCACCCCTACTACTCCCCCACTGATTTTTAAAATCTGTTGTGGCTCAGCCCTTCCCTCATGCTTCAGAGGGAAGACATGGCAGAAGGAACAAGAGCTCCTGAGGTTCCTTTCTACTCATTATCCCTTTACAAATGCTGCTGCTGAGCACTATGTCTTTCAATCCTATGACTATGACTTCCATCAGGGGAAATGATATGCTGGCGCAATTCTCTCTTGAATTCAGTGGGGATTCTAGCTGAGGGGTAAATGCAGCTCCACTGTAAATGGGAGCTGAATGCTGGGATGGCTGGGGACAGAAATCTGCACCCTTTTCTCCAGCTCTATGGTCCTGATGCTGCTGTGTTTTGCATCCGTTTTGGAATCCCTTTGGAAATCAGTGCTACGTGTATCAATGCAAGACAGAAACTTGTGCTGAGCTGTTGACAGGCCAGTGTGCAACTGGAGATGATAACTCAGATGCAAAATTCACTGTGCGAATTATCCTCCTTCGAATTGCATCAGATGTCCCCATTCACTCAGTGATGAGCCTTTTCCTGTGCAAGTTCTTAGTTCACTGACCCCCAGAAGGTGTTGAGATTTTCTGAGACGATACCTGAGGGTCCTAATTGCTCTTTAGCATAATTCTTCCTGATTAATGAGTGTTATAGGTCCAGAACTGATGACAGTTTGGGTTCTGAGTATTTAAGAGTTGAACACAGAGTTAACCACGGTGCCCTCAGTAGTCTGCCAGACAGGCAGACTGCCTATCCTAAGGAATCTTTGTTCCTTATTCCCGCCTTATTCCTAAGCACCACTTTGCACCGCAGATCCACTTCTGTAAAATATGGCATTTGCTCATCTCTGAAAGTGCTCTGAGATCCAAGATGAGAGGTGTTGGATGCATGCTAAACAGGGAACTAAACTACTCTCAGTGCTTTGCAAAGAGAAGTTTGACAAAGTCTCTACCTCAAAGAATGTATAATCTAAAAAATAAAAAATTTTAAAAAAATTAACTGCTGTGAGAAAAGCAAACTCAACTCTTCTAGAACTAATAATAACGTTCAAACTTATTAATACTCTTCCAGTGTCCATCATTAATTAATTATTAAACAAAACTAAATATAAAGTTTGCTCTGTTCCATGTGCCCTTACTTACAAACTCTTATCTAATTTTAGGAAGCAAAACCAGAAAAAAAATCAGGTTACTAAAGGAAAATAAAGTGGGTTTTAGATCACTGGACTTAAGCCTTTCCCAGCAGCTTTCAGATGGTGCCAGCTCAGGAACTAAGAGGAACAGCTGTGACCCAAAGACTGAAGATTGGAGACAAGTCCACTGGCTGCTGCAACATCTCTGGTGCAAGAATTCTCCTCAGGCTCTCAGGAGGTTGCTAGTGATAATGCCAAGCTACATTTAAAGTGCATTTCTGTGTAGTGCATCTCTGTGTGTGTGAATTCTGCAGGATTTTCTCTGAGAAACTTCTTATGTATGATATGCAGGTGGACAGACTGAAACCTCTTCATTGAGACAGGAGCCTTGGAGTGCTTTAGTGACACCAAAATGACATCACGGAGTTCAGGTGCAGTATCTTGATGAGCTCCAGACTAAGGTCTCTGTGATCCCATCTGTACCTGTAGGGACCATTAACTTTCTTCAAATTTATGCCTGGAAAAGCTCTGTCTTAGCCTTCATTGGAGCCTCTTGGGTGAAGCTTTTAACCTGTGGCTTGGGAGGTGCTTTGAAACAGCCACCTGTGTGCACTTCACCTCAGGCTGCACAGAACTTTCTGACTTGTGATTATGACAATTATTAATCAAACTTCTGCCTTTGGAAAATAGTTAGAAATCCTGCTACTATATGACCCTCCTCCCCCAGTCTGCTCCATGTTTCTACAGTTTTGAGAAAAAAGAGTGAGCCTCCAAACTCAGCTACTTTCCTTGGCTTTTGTCAGAGTCAGAATCAAGCATGCTTCTGACCAGCAAGAGGACCTGAGATGATAAAAGTTTCATAGATATGAGCTTTCCTTACTCTTGTCTTGATTGGAGGGGCTGAATGAGCCACTTTGGGCCTAGACAGCTGGGTGCATGCATTTGGTTGCAATTTGCTCATTTAGAGGGAGGCGAGCATCACTTTGCTGTTCTCCACGTGCACTGGAGCAAGCCTGGAGCTCAAGGCAGAGGACACCTGCAACAAAGCAGCTAATCTGAAGTTTACTGGGCACATTTTTGTGGCCGTGCCTGGAGAATGGCACCAAGTATCAAGCTGTACCTTGAGCTTCTGAGCAAACCTGTACAATGTGTTTCTCTATAGTGACGGGACAGGGAACACACCATGGAGGTTCTGCTAAAGCCAGGGAGACCATACTGCCTGTCTCCTCATCACATTCTCGCCAGCAAGCTCAGCTTCTTGTCCTTAGGACAGAGTTGTCAAGGAATGGGTTTGCCTCTTCCTTTTGTTCTTGTTCTCCATGGGAAGGGAGAGTCATGCCATTTGTATTCTGCCTACTGGCAGATACTGCTAAAGCATAGACTGAGCCTGTTTCTGAGCCCTCTGAGCTGGCTGCTGAGGTGAAGGAGTAGTGGAATTTCTGCTCTGTTGCCAATTAGGCAGGTAAAATATCCCTGAGAAAGAGGGTGTGCAAGAGCTAATTATTTTTGTATGCTGCTGCCTGAATAGCTTGAGTCTGCCAGGTGCCAAATGTCTCTAGAAATCTCTCGGTTCCGTGGGAACTGAAACGTTCAGCTTGTTCCTGACTCTTTTATGGAGTGAGACCCTAGAAAACTGCAAACTTCTAGCACAAAGGCTCCTCATCTGCTGATGGGAGATTGAATCCTACCCATGAGAAACATGAAGTAGAAAAAAGGACTCCAAATTTTTAGTGGGCACTGATTCTGTAAGAGCATGACACATGCTAGCCTGAACGCCTGTCCCAGAGATGAATCAATGTCACTGTACCTTGCACCATTTCCTTACATTGCTGTTTGTCTGCTTTCCTGCCTGAGTCACTTGGGTTGTGATCCCCGGTTTACATGCTTCTAAAATCTTGGGCAATGTTGTCATGACTGTTATGCAGTTGGTAGTAGCTTTAAGTGTTTATTGAATTAGGTTTCCATGAAATAAAATACCGGTATTTTGGATAAATAAATGACTTAAATGCCAGGATGACTGGTCTAACACAGTAAGTTTGTAGAAAGTGGTGGCATGGGGAAAGGTAGGTCGAACCCTGGCTTTGGCATGGTAGCAGTTATTCGTTAGTTTGTAATTGGTTTTCTTTAACTTCATTCTCTTAGTTGTCTACCTGTGAATGATAAAGAAAGAGACGACACTGTCATTGTACACATGAACTGATGTGGTTTTACTGCATTTGGCCACACACTTAAAAGAAATACGCAGAGCAGCCGCAGGTCTTATCTCTGCTGCCACTCCTTTCACAGAAGAATGATCTTTACATCAATAGTTTTCCAACCTTGGCTTGATAACAGTCCTACCTTTTGCTCTTGGTCCGAATGCAGAGATTAAAAACACTCAGTTGATGCAAACGGTGGGTTGATACAACACACAGAATGGGGTGTAGATGTGCTTCACACAACAGAGAGCAGAATTGAAGGGGAAAATGTTGCTTGGAGGCAAGACGCCTCTTTAATTGATTATGGCAAGGAAAATTAAATACCATATCTGCTTTTTTTTTTCCTGGAGTATATCGAGACTGATCATAACTAACATCTGTTCATGTTAAGCAAATACTTGTCATGATTTAAACTTCTGTTTGCATACAACTCTGAGTAGTGCATCTTAAAGTCATACATATTCATATAGAATGAAGAATGCATAATGTCTGCATAAAAAGATAAGCTGTATGACTATATATGAAGACAACAACTACAATTCTCACAGCACTGTCATTGGTTAATTTTAAAATATCCAAGCATTATTTGAAAAACAGTAAGCTGAACTTAAAACTACACTACAAAAAATTGTATAACTGAACTGATGCTGACTTGTTTTCCTCAATATTAATCAATTTTAAAGTTTCCCTTTTTTTTTCCCCTAGCACTTTTTGTTAATTGTTATTTTAACCTCCAGTAACATGATCAGACTTATTCTGCCTCTGGGCAATTGAGTTATGTTCTGATCTTGAGTTCTAAGGGAAATGTTCGATCTTATTTTTTTCCACGGTTGAATAAACAGTACCATGTATACTATCTCTTGTGTTAGAATAGTGTTGTCTTCACATAAGACTCAAATAATGGTATTAGTCATTCATTTCCTCGTACACATACACCCTATTGCGTGTTGACAGGTTTATAAGGATGCAGTGGCAGCTGTGGGTGCTGGGAAGCTCCTAGACGACAGCCTTTGAATCCTTGCAGTCCTGAGCAATGGTGCCTGAGTTAGTCTGTTTATTGTCTGCTTTCTCTCCCAGATGCTTGACTTGTCTGAAAGATTAATACATTAACAAGAGCGGTAAGGGCCAGGGTTGCACATCTTTAAGACATGTTTATTAGCAGATGGCACATGAGATTCAAAGGTCACCGTGGAAGGTAACATTTTAAAGTGAAACAACAATATTTATGTTCAAATACTATGCTGATGAGATCATATGGAAAAATGTTTTTGATTAAATTAGTTTATAAATAGCCACAATATATCTATTGAAAATTCCAAATGCCACTTTTAGTCTTCTTTCTTTTGTTCTATTTCTTCCTAATTTATTTAGTAACACAAAACTACCTTCTTATATAAACAGACTAGCAGCTGGAAAAAAAATCTATACTGGACAGACAATCCTACCTTCTTAAATAATTGAAAACCCAATGTGAAACCTAGTTCTATTGTCTACTACTCAAACCTAATATTCTGTATAAGAGGTTTTTAAGACCTGAAAGGAATTTTAACTTAAATTCTTTAGGGTAAAATTCATCTTGCAGACATAAGGATTTGTTGGCAGAGAGCTATCCTTATTTACAGGCAATATCATGTGCTACAACACATTTGACAAAAATCGTGTTATGCTACTTACACAGAATCCATACAATGGAAAGAAAATCCTTTTCTTTAGGATTTCCATAGAAGGACTGACTGTCTCTAGTTCATTAGTAAACATTATCAGTGACGCTAAACCCGAAATCTTGTTTATCCTCTCAAATTGTGACAAACTATACCTAAATTCCAGAGGAAATAATTTTGCACAGGTTTAAAAGGGCAACTAAGCTCTTAATTAACATTTCTTATCTACCACGCCACACAGGCATTAAAATGCAGAGGATTTAAGTGGTACTTACTTTTCATGTGATCCATTTTCAACTTTCATAGCCCCTTCCACTGGATCCAGTCCTTGTTCTGAAAACTGTTTCAAGGCACTTAACGCTGCCTAAAGAAAAAATCAGTTGTCAAAAAACCCACTGACACAACTGTATCAACACCAAATGAAGGAAGGTGTGTATCTTGACATTCTGGGTTTAAATAATTTCCTGTATATCGAAGCCATTTAGGCTACAGAGCTAACAGAGTAGGTATGTAACAACTCCATGATAAACAGCTCTGCTTGTGTACGGGGTTGAGGACATCTTCTTCCTCCTGGGTATATGAGCGACTTCCATTTGTGTTAATGCAAGCTTCATCACCTACATGAAGGCCTTGATATACTTTCAGGATTCTTGCCTCTCTGGCCTGTAAGGTCTGAGCATCAGGAAAAGGGTCAGCAGGACACTACCGACACTCCAAGGCTGGACCTCAAACAACGCAGCAGACTGGTGTCTTGTACACAGGTAGTGAAGTGTGCTAAACAGGGTGAGCCAATGTGGGACGATTATGAAGCATCGGCAATAGAGGAATGATCAATTTTCAGCTGACGTTTTTCTGTTCAAGTGTATTCTTTATTGACCAGCTTCTCTCTCATCTTCATTCATGAGTCCTGCTTTAAGGACTCAGAATTGTTCTTCTCTCCCCCCTAACTGCTTTGGTAAAAGACAAATGATTTTCTGTAATTAATTTAGTGAAGGTCGACTATGAAACTCTCAGACAGCACGTGGCTGACTTTGAAAACACACCCAGTGCAATAAAACAGTTGAGGTCAGTTCTGTCTTGAAGGTGAAATGTAAAGCAGAACTGAAAAACGGGGTTTTCTCTTTAATCACTACCACCAAAGATGCATTCAGAACTAATGACAGGGAGGAAAAAGGTAACATTTCACAGACACTGTCACGTAAGGTAACATCTCAAACACTGGAACTGACTGCAGGCCCTACAGCACTGTTCTTCACAGTGAGGCAACAACTGCTGTTTAGAAAATTGGAAGTTGCTCTCTTCTTAATTGTTGGGACAGAAAGAATCCATGTATCTTCATTTCCCGTTCCTCTCGGAGAGCAGGGACTCTGCAGAACAGGAGCTGCCATTGTAATGAAATACCAGATTTTCTTTCATACTAAATCTTTGCCTGGATTCTCTCAACAGCTCCTTCCTTTGAAAGGTATGTTTATACAACTTAAATATTATTAGACAATGTGTATTTTGGTGAGATGAATAACAGCACAAAAATTGCCAGGCTGCCCTGAAGTAAAAGACCATGTATCCCAGATTTGTCTACAGTAATGACTAGCTGCTAAAGCTTCAGAAGGCTGCACAAGGTACTCCCACCCATAATGCATCAAGGTAAATTCTTTCTAGTATGTGAAGTTTTATGGGTTTTGTTCTAGCAAACAAATGAAAAGCTAAACATTTTATAAAGTGTCTTGGTAAACCTAAGATTGTCACTCTTACTTACCCATCCACTTTACCTTTACCACATGTTCTGGGCACCCTGTATGTGACAGCTAACCTGCTCTCTACTTGCTCCTTCTTCCTACACATTCCTAACACTTCCTAATACAATTTTCCCCTTCATCTTAAAAATCTCTGCTGCATTCATCTTTCTTTTTATTCTTTTTCCATGTTATGGCTAAGGGCTGACCCTCAGCTTCACCTCAGTAACAAATTCTCCCATTACAGGACCTTTCACTTTTATCACCCATTGTGTTCCCCAGTGAATGAATTCTCCTTTTCCTTATTTCTGATTTTCTTGACATTTTGCTATATTTGCATTTTTTATAAGATAGCTCTTTCTCTACCACCTTATAGTGTCCCTTGTAATTTTAGATGTGCAGTCTCAACTCTGATAAGCTCTAATCACCATCTGCCTTCCCATCCTCGATCTTGACTGCCCAGCAAAATCCCTGCTTGTTCAGCCCAAATAATTTCTCCCAGTGGCAACAAGGGGTTTCATCTATTTTCCTCTCAACTTCTCAGTTCCAGTAACCTGACACATTTCTTCATCCCAATTTCTCTCTTCTCCTCCTCTCCCTGGGGTCCTTTTCATCACAATGTAAGCACTACTCACCATGTGAGGAAGGGGAATGATTTGGGCTCCTGTGCTTTCTTGCACAGGACTGCTTCTCTGTTGTACTTTGGTTGGTCATGGGTTAGCAACTATGAGAACCAAAGAATTTGATGGGTAGGGACTGGCACACAAGAGTCTCTTGTCTTCTCATATCCATTTTTCCTGAAGCACATTACCAAAACAATCAGGATCTCCTTTCTTCTTGTGTGTGGTAATCCCAAAATCATTACCACGTAGCACTACAAGGAGAGAAGAAAGCTGAGACCTCTGCTCCTCCTGCACAGTTTAACTGCTACCTCATCTATTTTTGAACCCACCTTGTTTACTTTTTTGTATCCATTCTTAGTTTCAAGGTCTGATGTGTGAATTGTAAACTTGTGGAAGAACTATTTGTTCAGGTTTTTTGTTTGTACAGTGGCTTGCACAAGAAGGCCCTGATCATAGTTAATAAGAAGTAGAGCCAAGTAACGTTTCATTCAAGATTAGATCACAGGTTGATCATATGATATGCAGAACAGTCTGATTTTGATCAGTGGTCACTGAAATCCCCAAATCATCAAGACATTAATTAGACCAACCCAAACTTCCTAATTCCTTTCTAGAATTGCTCTGAACATGAGCACATCTGTTACTTACTACTGTTTTACTCATAAAACTGGCTATCGCAAAGCATACCACATGAATTACAGAGCAGCTTTCAGTGTTGCTTTCCAGAAAAACAGTTTTGGAACTTCCTGGAGGAATATTAGCCACTATCTCAACAGAAACATGAGGGCATCTCTTCTCTTCTAACAGCAAGGGAAAAAGTACTGCAATATGAAATAATGAACTCTTTGCTTGTAAGCATGGATCATTACTATATGAGTGTTAAGAAGGTAAATATGAAACATTAGTGGAAACACAAAAAATGAAGGTATGATTGAAGGTGTTTAATGATAAGCATGCTTAATACCAACACAACATCCAAATCCTAATGCTTGTAACGTGGTGCAGCCTCATTTCTCCATCTCACCCTTCTTCAAGCCATGCCCTTCCCAAACTGAAATGTGATATAAAAGGTAAGATCTTAGATCTATGGTATTTCTAAACCCAAATATCAGTTGGGGCAAGTGGCAGGAAAGCAGTCCTGTACCTGTATCCTTGATCTTCCAAGTAGAGGTGTCAGGGTGTTTATTGAAGAGCCAGCCCTTTACACCGTCTGTCATCACTAGGCTTCTTACCTTTGCTGCTCTGGAAGCTGATGACCTCTTCAAAAACTCGTGCTTCCCACTCCCCACATCTTCTGCCTCAGTCCCACATCTTTCCCAAGCCACTCCAGTGCCCCTGGTCTTCCCCTCCCTACTATCTGTCCCAGAGGTCTGACTTCTTTTACAGCAGAGGTGATCACCTCTACTTCTTCAGAAACCTCCCCCTACCCAGGACCCTACTTTTTCCTGCTCCTAAATGCTCTTCCACTCAGGAACCCCAGCTTCCAGAGCTAAACTTTCCTTCGCCAAGTCCTCCCAATCTCTTACACCTCACAGTCCCTCTTTATCTTCCAGTTTCCTAACGTGTTCCAGGTTAATATGAGATCTGATTTCTTTTTCATGGAACTATGTCTCTCTTTCCATGTGGGGGAAGCCTAACTACTTACATCCCAACTTTTGCAACAACATTTGAATTTGGGGAAAGTTTCTTTTCTTTTTAAAATGTCCATTCATGTGACTGAAGGGCAGTAAGACAAATGGTAGAGACAGTCTTGTAGTGCCTTAAAACCTCCCCCTTTTCTTTCTCCCATAGCCTGCTTACATTTGGAAGGATCAGCAGAGCCAAGAGAAGCTGGTAGGTTAACAATACTTTGGACCTTAATAGATGTCCTGAATGATTCTCCTCTCCCCGTTGTGCCCCTAGACAGACAAGAAGATGCTGGATTCAGGAAGGAAGCTGGTAGCTGAGAGGCTGTGACCTGAATAGTCAGCAGAGTGACACAGAGCCCAAGTAATCCGCAGCGAAGAAGAGTTACAAGCAGACACCGGGCTAATTTAATCCGTGATTCAATTCTATTAGTCCCAACAGATTTACACCACTTGGCTTAAATATAACTTGTGAATGGCAGATAACTTAGGTTAAATTAAAAGGAAAGAAAAGAATGGAACGTTTGACAGTGAATCTGGTGAACAATTTCCTCTTTTAAAGACTCAACACTTCCTTCCATTGATATTTTTCTTACAATAGAGCATCTGCACAGATATAGAGAAATTTTTCTCTCCCCCAGAAGATTTTACAACTGTTTTGTGAGTGAAGCCCCATAGGTTACAGAACAGATGTCCTTACACATTTCTTGTATCACTTGTTTTCTGTGTAGCTACAACAGTGCCAAAAATACGATGCCAACAGGATGCACCGCACTGCTAGCTGTTTGTCTTGGCTGCCATTTCCATTATTAGTATGTGTGTGTATCAGGATGGGGATGGATGTTTCCAGTCATTTTTTAGCTTTCCTCAAGTCAATTGGCAATTAGTAAATAGCATTGAAACTTGTGAATATTCTTCCTGTTTCTCACTCTGGGGATTAAGCGTCTTATAACGACAATCTAGTAACATTAGATCATTCTTTTAGCAAGAACAGCAGACAGGCACTGCACTAGTCCATGTGCATTTAAGACAACATCCTCACGATAAAATTTTCACATGTTTGTTTTAGCACAGTATGTGGTTTGTGTTTTTCCTCTTAAATCTATATTACATTTCAGATTATTTCATGAAGCTGAAAATTGTAAAAGTTTGTTGTTCTCTGTGGCCCTTCCAGTTGACTTTACCAAGGAGGTCTGAGACAGTCCTAATAAACACACTGCTTGATACTGTTAGTTTACTGGTGCTATGTCTCCTAACATCAGTTTTCTAAGTACATAAAACAACATATTCAGCTTGCCCTTAATCAGTGTTGTCTGAAGACACAAAATTATGGGCAGAAACAGTTATGCTGCAGAACTGAATTAAGTCAGGGTCCAGAGAAGG